AACTGTACAATTTAACAGGTAATTCACAAAACTGCAAATGTGTATAAAACATTGCTGGTTGTAATAGTATCTTTTTAGGTTGGCTGAAGTGGTTGTTTTCCATTTCAATTTCCCGCATTTGACGTGGTCGTCACATAATTTCCTGTGTCGTATTATTTGCTGCAAATCTGTTTGGTGGTACGTCCTTTCGAATGGTGAAGTTATCTCAATCGTCAATTTACTCTCATTCGACAGCTTTTTTCAGTGAATAAGTCATATATTCTAAAAATAAGATACCTATACTGAGAGAGAATTATATTCAAGTATTATTTTTAAAACATTATTAAAGTTCTTGCAGTATATATTATGTTCTAAATTGTGTCTAAACCTTAAATAATTAATTTTGATTTGAGATATTAAATTATTTTAAATAAATAACTATTTTAATGATAAAAAGAAGCATTTGATCTCACATCAAATAATTAAGAGAAAGAGATAAATTAATAAAATAATAATATAATATATTATAAATAATATAAAATAAAATAGATAAATTAATTAATTAATTTCTTTAATTAAAAAATAATTAATTTTTAAAAGAAATAGAGTTATTAAAATGTAAAATAATATCGGCAAATTTCAAACATGTATTATTATGTATATACACCATGATATTCAAAAATTATTATTATCAAACACTATGGAAGTTATATTGAAAATTATGTTAAAATATTTCTTAAAAAGGAAGTGGACAAAATAATATTAACTAACCTATTAACAAAAACTTACACTTTTTTTCATAGTTAATTTTAACAATTACAATATATATATTATTATTTATTAATGTTTTTAAAGGAAGGAGATGGTCCGGAGTGGCGGTCCTAAATAGGCTGAATAGTGGCAAAACTATTTTATTAAAAGCTAACTTTTCCTGCTATGATTTTATTGTTATTATCTACTTTATTAAAAGCCCTGAAGAAGACCTGCAAAGTCGGGTCGAAACGTTTGCTTTCAATAAAATAGTTTTGCCACTATTTAATCTATTTATGACCGCACCGACCATCTCCTTCCTTTATAATACAACGGTCAAATATTAAACATTCAATATCAATGTTTTTATCTGATAGTTTATAATAAAAAATAATTATTTTTTCATGTATAGTTCGTTGCTTTTTTATTATTATTTGAAAACCATTGTATTAAAAAAAAAAAGATTCTCACTTTTAATTTATTGCACGGTATTGTCCTATAAAAACATGATTATAGGTAATGTATCTTATAATTTTATAAATAACGTAAGTACCAAATTATAACAGCATTTTAAATTATCAAACTGTGACTGTGAATGAATCATCATAAGTGTATGTTGTAGATGAACAATTGAGATTCATTCCGATTCAATTTCAATTAAATTATAAATATTTTTTAGTTATATCTCGGATTTATGTCTGATTAATTATTTCAGAATATAGCATCACAATAATTATTCTTTATTATTTACGAGACTATAGAGGTTTCTTCTACATTGAACCAGGTTTTATTTCTTTGCTGACAACTCAGAATTTTTCTCTATAGGGTTTATAATTTTGAAAAGGATCCATACTGCCTAATGAGGATTACTGAGTTAATTTAAATTAACAAAAGAAATAGAAATAGCGTTACAGAAAAGAACTGGGAGATAGCTTCAACAATTACTAATTTATGGTCAACCACAAACACCTCTGCACGTCATATAGCAACCGCAACCACGTAAATCCTTATAAACATTTATATGTTCCAACAGCCAAGAACAAATTCACTTCTGATTCATCTTTTATTAAATTTAAGGTTTTTATTTTTTGTTAATATCTTGTAAATAATATAAAATTGCAGTTCACTGACGAATTTTCGATTCTTGAAACACTTACATATGTTCCGTTAAACATGTTTTTGATCTTGTTACATCAAACTATTTGACTAATAAAATACATTATAAAATGATAAAGTAAATTAAACAAAATTAGATTATTAATAAATATTATGAATCCAATTATATAAATGTTGTAAGCCATAAAGATGACTGACTCCAACTATATAATGGAATTTCAAGTTTTGAAGATGTATGAGAATTTTATCATTGGTTAAAAATTATTTAAGTTTGATTAATATTTTGTTTTATAGTTAAATTATATAAACAAAGTTTTAAAAGCATTATTGTGTGTGATTCAGCGCTGTGTAATAAAGAAAATTACGAAAAGTATGTTTTCTACAAAGTTTCGGAGTTTACATATAAAGTTATAATTGTTCTATCTTTTGAATGATTAAAGATAGATAGTAAAAATAATATACATTGTTTAAAAAAATTTAATGCTAAACAACTCTCTTCCTCGTGATTTTTTTGTAAAATAAAATGAAAATAATGAAGAGAAGGATGTTGGGGTGATCAGTCATAATAAAAATGGCAAAAATAAATAATAATATTTATTTTAAAATAAAATAAAATAGGTATATTAAAACATTATATTATATATTATATATTAATAATTTTTAATATTTATATAAAAATATTTTAATATTTATATATTAAAATAAATAATATTTATTTTTATTGCCATTTTTATTATGACTGATCACCCCAACCATTCTTGTCTTCATTATTCACTACAGTCAACCATCAACCCACAATTGTAAAATGAAAATAAGTTAGCTAGTCAAATTTATTAGGTAAAAAAATATGGGGTAATTAATGAATTACGAGGACGGGTATCTTTGAAGCTATAGAAATATTATATAACCATTTATGTTATAAATTTTTCCAGCTTTTATTTTAAATAGAACATGATTATTTATAATTTCACTGTTATAAGCGAAAAAACGAAAAAAAGAAGGAACTTTTTGAATTGTAAATTCAAATCTTTGAATTGAAAACCACGGGAATTGGGTAACTGACTATTATTTCATATCTTAAAACAGTAAAATTTGAATTTAAAGTGTTGGTAGCTTTCTATATCTATAGGCTCTCTCTATATATAAGTTTTCTAGCTATAATGGGCCCTCGATCTGGCCACCATTTTGTATTCCAGCGACTTTATGCGGGAAGACGTGCATTTTTCTCATCAGGCCTGGACATGGTCAATTAATAAGAACAAACCTCAGTAAATAATCACGTTTTTTTGCCACGGACTCCCGGACTATTGTGTATCCATTGCTAATGGATCATATCGTTTCAACTGTAAGTTGGTCATATCTTTTCAACTCTAAGTTTAACCTAAGTGTGAGAAGTACTTAATCTTCAGTTATATTAACTGACTATCTGAGGACACCGTATATAATTTTTTTTTTCTTCTGATATTTTCTTCACTCATTCACTCATTACCGAATCGCTAAAATCGACTACTATAAAACGTTTTTAGAAGATAAAGGCATTTATAGAAAGGCACGCTCCATAAATCTGATATTTGAAGTTACATAAGGTAACCGAGCCAGTTCCACAAATGATTACCCAACAGCAATCCGACAATGGCCAAGGGCACTTTGCATTGTAGATGACAAAGGTTGTGGGAGTGCACCTGATGCCAGGAAGCAGGAAGTGGAGTTTACAATACTACTCTTTCGTCAGCCGGCAGGAATACCGATCCTTTGGAAATTTGACTGCGCATGATCACTGCAAGTAGAATGTTTTTTTGGTTTTTTAATTTTATTTATAAAGAGATTCTTAAAGAATCCTAATATTATTAAAGGTCGTATCTTACTACATGGGGAGGAAGTAAAACATAATCGATTGTTACAGAAAGTAATAATTGTTTAATAACCGATACTTTACCAAATTTCGAATTCTCTAGATACTTTTCAACTTGAAGACGATGTGTCGGGATTCATTTCGCTTTGAGGAGGTGTCATATTTAATCTTAAATAAATATTAATAATAAAGACTTCACGAAAATGAAGACTCGATGCCGATACCAGCAATCGATGTCTACATACTTCCATCCATCGATTGCTATTGCGAATTGATATGAATATGTTTTACAAATAAATTAATATTTTGAAAACCAAAATCCAATGTGTCTATCATAAGCAATCCTGGTATTGATTGCAGACAAGTGATCATATCCAATATATTCCTTGGAAGAAGAGTTGTACATCCATTTTACAAATCATTTGATTTGACACTCCATGATTTTTTAGTTATACTTTCAAGAGTGAGCGTCACGATTGTGTTGGCTACAAGCCAGTCAGTTGTGAGCATACTTGCTAACGAGGTAGCTCGCTGTGTGAAAGCGAGTGATATGCCTCCAACGAAACTAGTGAGATTAGATTCCAAGAGTTAGTTCGTAGCTATTGAATTAGCTAACGAGTCGTTAATAAGCTTGTCTAATGTGATCAGCATTTTAAGCTTTCGTTTAATGTTCGCTTGAAAAGATTTCGATCTTATATTGAGATCATCCCTACACTTATAGTTAACGAATCGGAGGCAGTGAAGACTTTAGAAGTAATGTATTTATTCATAATTTTACAAATGGCATCTAAAATACAGAATAATATAATATGGATATATGAGTTGACTCCATCAGTTCACTCCAGATCTCCTACAGTAAGAGACATCAAGAGAATAAACTACATGAGTGATTTGGTCTTAGAAGGATGGGGGTTATATTCTCAGGAATAGTAGGGGGGATGAATCAATTCTGGACGGTCTAGGAAGCGTGTGAATGAAGTTAAGAATTGATATCCTTATCTTTTAGAGTTGATATGAAGTCTGTGAGAAAGTGCTGTTGAAAACGGTTATTGTTCCCTAAGTCTTGATAAGTGTCTTCTGTCCAGTCAGTACATTCTAGATAACTATTTCTGAGCTATCAGAGATAGCTTGACCTGGCTATCTAGGGCTTTGATAAAGGTCAATGAATGATTAAATGATTAAATTAAATAAAAGTTAATATTAATAGTTGTTACGGATTAAGTCCATTCCGTAACTTATGAATGAGCTCATTCCCAAGATGTGTTGCGTCGCTATAGTGACCACTACGTTGGCGCTTCAATCAATGAATAGAACAAACAGTCGTGACCCCCAACACTACAACCAGTACCAGGTATCAAGTCGCAGGTACGGCATTGACATTGGTGACAGAGGCTCAGACACGTTACCCCGCTGCGAGCAAATCGATTTCACACTCTCTCTTCATCGCCGGAGCCCGGCTGGTACTGTTACGTTCCGCTTATAAATATGACGGACTTATTAACGGTTAGAACAGTAGCTTCATAAGAACAGTGAAGCATTTCCTTATAATCAGTCACGTGGATAGATTATACAACAGTACCGACATTTCTATCACTATTAAAGCGTGCTCTTTGTTCAGCTTTCTTCTGCAGAGTTTTGAAATCTGTTTCATTGTCCATTGTACGAGGGGAATTAGAGAGAAACAGAAATTGTCAAGTTGACTTTCTATAAATTTGTCAACAACGGGAATTTTTTTTTTCAATTATACCTTTGATTCGCAATAGTGGAGTTTGTTTACCTTTCTTTTTTTTTTTTATAAATACTATCGGATTTTTTATTGAGGCTGGAAGTAGATGGTTGGTGGGATGGAGAAGTAATTCTCTGATCACCTCTAATGAATTATTAAATCAAAAGTAAATAAATGGAATGGTTTCTTTCTTTCTTTCTTTTTATTTATGCACATTTAAAGATTTTTATTTTTTTTATGACTTGGAATTTCTAAGAATTAAAGGATTTTGGTACTGTTTCTAAAGATGGGACACAATAGTTATTTGATCGGTCATTGTTTCAAGCTAATAAATTTATATTTTTATACGGGATAAGTTTTATGCAATAAATTTTTATCAAAAATATTAATTTTTAAAATTTAACTGGAAGATGCATCTTTTCCGCCTTTCATGACTCTGTTCGTTGGAAATACTCTCAACAGCTACATTTTTTTTTCAGTTTTATAAACAGATTTTCCTCTGTCCTTCAACTCTGAAGGAGCACTTTATATTGGAGGAAATAATCACCTGCAATATAATTTACGTTTGTAAATTTGCTTTGCCCAAAATATTCAACTAACAAAATTGTATTGATTTTTTTACAAATATCAATCAGAGGATCCACTTTTCAACAATTGAAAGGGTAACATTTACCTGTCCCACACGAAATCCCGGGGCAACGGAGCATATCCACGAAAAGAGCTGATGTCTCTCTGAAAACGGGACGTCTGGTCACGTTAAGCATTAGATAAAAAAGAGAAAAAAGGATAGAAAATAAATCTGTTTGAAGAGATTTATTTATTTCTCTGTTTTTCTACATCCCAAAAAGGGCAGTCAAAATTATCTCCGATGTAATCTTAAAGTAATTAATAAGGGGTTACTAAATAATTGACTGTGGAGGATTAAAATATAATTTTTAATTTAATTAATTCTTAATTTCTTAATTAATTGAAATATGTAATTCATCTTTATTTATTTCGCATCCTTAATTATCTTATTCGAATTTTCTAAATAATAAACAAAGGTTTTACTTTTTTTTCCCCCATACCTTTCTTGCCTTTTCGGTTATACGGGTTTTCTTCTAGTCCCGGCGAGAGGACGGGGGATTAATGATTTTAAACATGATCTATCAAAACTATCAATAGACATTAGATTGTCAACCTCTAAAGTTAGAGCTCAGGTGATTAGTATACACGAAACTTATCATGAATCTCCTGATTCAGAACCAACATCCTGCCACGATCGGTGGATAATCGGAAACGTAGATTGCATCGACCTGTGCATGAGAGAAGGAGCCAGAGAGAAAGTGGTGTACCATGATGCGGAGATCACGACTTAGCAGTGATCGCTTGCATCCGACCCGAGCGCTGTAGTGTGCGCTGCAGGGTTATTTATTGCGATGGCTCTCCAGTGCGCTGTTGCGCAAGGTATTGTTATAGGCTGTATAAGGGAAAGCCAAATGTTCACTCACATCCGACATCCAATAATTGACCATTTATACCAATTATTGTTTTGTATGAGTATAGTGTACATTATATTGCGACAGCATCCGGTTTTCACTTCGACATCTACATGATGGGTCGTTATTTATACTTCTTCCATTTAACTGTTTTCATGGAGGTCATAAAATAATATAATAAATTTCAGTCCTATGCTCCCCGTGTCAGTTTTGACAATAAGTCAACTAGGGTGAACGCACCAGTTATGAACAGGGAAGCCAGTGATGGACAGGTTGAAATTTATATGTATATAATAAGCTTTATTGTTGATTTAAAGGCTTCATACTTTCTATACTAAATAGAAACACGGGCGGATCTACGGGGGGGAGGGGCTTTCGGGCTGAAGGCCCCCCCAAAATGGAAAAATATAACCATGTTATATGGGAAAAAAAAATTAAAAAATACCTCTTAAAGTATTATTCTTCGAGTAATTACATTGAATAGTACTTAAGGAATAACTTAAACACCATTTCATATAGGTAGTTAGTTTCTTTCTGTTTTTCCAAAGTAATTATCGTTATTTTTATGAAAAAAAAAGGTTTCGGGCTCAAGCCCCTCCCAAAATTAAATCCTGGATCCGCTAGTGAATAGATACTAAATATATCGTGGCAGGATGTTGGTTCCGAATCAGGAGAGTGGCAAGTTTCGTGGATACTAATCACTTGAGCTCTAACTTGCAATTTTTCAATGAGGTCTATTGATAGTTTTGATAGATCATTTTTAAAATCATGATTCCTCCGTCCTCTTCCCGGGCCTAGAAAAAAACATTATAACCGAAAAGGCAAGAAAGGTATAGGAAAAGAAGTAAAACCTTTGTGTATTATTTAGAGAATTCGAATCAGATAATTAGGGATGCGAAATAAAAAAAGTTGAATTATATATTTCAATTAATTAAGAAATTAAGAATTAATTAAATTAAAAAATATATTTTAAACTAAATAGAAATGTACTCAATTGAGAACTATAGGAACAAAGTTCCCAAAATAAAATTTTAAAATTCCTACCATTGTTGTTTTTATAGTGCTCTTGAGATCAGTGTGTTTCATGCCCTTCTACTAACAGTTTTGCTAAGAGTTAGTTGCATATTTTCGTTATCTTATTTTATAGTTAAACAAAAATTCAGAATTTTCTGGGGTATGCCCACCACTGGTACCGACCCCCTGTCTATTACTGAAACAATTGAAGTTTAAAGTGTCCATCGCTAGTGAAAAGAGGTGTTTTTTTTGTGTTTTTTTTTTTTTAAATGGAGATTATATATATTTTTTTATTTTGTTCTTTTTTTGTCGTATTCTTTTATTATTACTTTATTTATTTATATTTCTGTATATACGGTATAAATGTAAATCTCTGAACTCTATTATAAGTGTTCTTAAGTGAAACAGATTGTAATATTTCTCAATAAAATGTTTTTAAAAAAATGGAGATTATACCATAACTGAATATTTTTTCAATTTTATAGTTCCAAAAAAAAAAAATTTTCTTCGCGATGTCCATCACTGGTGCGTCTACCCTACAGTTTTTTTTTCTGTTTATTTTAATAGAAACATAAATCTTTTACTAGTCTAGTATAGACCATTTGCTATTAAGTCCATTTATTTTATATATATCATTTCATATGTAACAATGTTTTGGAAAAATGAACAAGAAAATGAACTATAATATTTCAATGATTGACTCAATACCACATTTTTTTTTTTAAATTACCAGTATTGTATTATCGCATATGAAGTTGACAAAATATGAGCCTGACATCTAAATTTAGGACAGTTTTGTATTAAATACAAAACAATTATAAGCGTAGGAAGTTGGGCTTATAATAAATGAGTTTGAAGATTCTATCTAATTTAATATGCAAGCCGGCACTAAATTTATTTCAGGTGCTTTGGAAGACAATTTAGATTACTTGTATAAATTATTACATTTTTAATAATTCGGACGGTAGAGATTTAACATGGGAAGTAAGCCATGATTTATGAATTCTGTAAATGTACATTTGTGTGTCTCAAAGGCAGTTTTAATATGGACGTATAGATTATGTTTTTCAATTGAAAGTTAAGAGCGTTCGTTTATGCTTCATTATCACGATGAGTCCATAAGATCTCCTTAACAACATGAAATCCAAGATCTCAGATCTCTTTTACAGGGATATCGAATGATATACGGCAAGTAAACGTAGGTTTATGATAAAGTGAGTATATAATTCTCTTTGATGTATACCATTTTTTATCGCATACTACAATTAAAGCAGTGTAAACAATTTACCAATCTAGATTTATCCCACCCAAGAGAACGAACTAATGATGAGAAGCAAAAAAACGATGTAACTTCTCTATCTAAAACTTTAAGGCGCTTCCTCAACACACTCTTCCATCGTTACCCTTGGATAATAATTCTGTACTTATTGTGAAGAATTAGCGAAATTATTAATCATAAAAAAGCGAGGTGACAGTATTAATGCTTCAGGAAATTGATAAATATTTCTCTTTAAAATGCCGTTTTCTTTATTGTAAAAATGTTGAAGAATGAATAAATACAAATAAATTACGGGCTCAAATCAATGTCATATTTAGTTTCTCAAATAAAAAAAATACAAAGTCCAAAGCAGTTAAAAGAACTAAAGATAATTGAAAATGGATGATTTTTCTATTACTCTGCAAATAGTCTTCGAATTTGAACCAAATGAAACGTGCTATAATCGAAATATGGATGTATCAAGAAAAAAACAAAAAGTTTACATATTCATAAGAAATATAATAAAATGATATTCGATTAAATTGATATGGGATCATTTAGGTTGCAATGCGCACATTATTTAGAAATTTGATAATAATCAAAAATGTGCATCATATGAAATTGACTACACATGGAAGCGAAAACGAAATTTCTTTATTGATATAAAAATATTAAACGGGAATGTAAATTTTCGATTATAAAAACAAAAATGTTCTATACCTTTAAAAAACTATAATTAAAAAAAATAAATTAAATTTGATCAAAATTTTTATCTGGAATTCTTAAAAATCATTTGATGATTTTTACATAAAGCAATTTTTATTTTTGATCATAGGTGATAAAAATCATATCCTGGTCATTACTTTTGGACAAAAAAATTACAATTAACAATAGTAATAATTCTTGAGTAATACTTTTTTAAATCAGAAATGTAATTGTTTTCCCTAATCCATAATCCCTATGACATATTTTGTGTGTGAAGTAGTACGTGGAGATTTAGTAATATGGCACAGAACTATTATTCCGAATTTCCTTATAATATATATATATATATTAGATATATAGTGCAGATATATAGTGCGCAATTAAAGTGATTTCGTGTATAAAACGAAAGTGTGTAAATTAATAACGTAAACATACATATTAATATTTTATTTTATTTGTTTGTAAAAGATGATTTTTATTTTCTGATAATTTTTTTTTTATCACAATTTAATTATTATTATGTATGTAATACCGTACCACTCAATGATTGGTCATTATTTTTAATCGAATAAATAAACATCAAAGATGGATTTAAATTTTGATTTATAAATCAGACACGATTTTTTTTTTATTATTATTTCTCAGTGGTATTTACAACTGTATAAAAGAAACTCATTTAGTAAATTTGAACATATGGATATAATGACGTGAAAACACTTGTTGAGTAACTACCCAATGGTAGCACTCTAATGATATGTCTACATTAGAAGATCACGCGGCCATCTTCTTTTCAGACGCCTCGGAGGGTTATCAGGAATTGAAGAGAAAGCAATGGTAGAAAAGAAAGGTTTGGGATGATTCTGAAGTTTATTATGGAAGGATAGGTATCTGGATCGGGCCAGATCTGAAACATAAGAAACATTAAGGGCATTATGGATGGTTTTATTTGGAACAAAGTAGGGAGCATTGAGGATTTTACGAAAGATTTTGGATTGTAAGGATTGGATGCGAGAGGAATTCGGTGGTTTAGTAGAGCCCCATAGCTCAACTCCGTAAGGCCTGATTGTAGTCATTTATATGAGTCTTCTGTAATTAATTGGAAGTTTAGAGCGTTTGTCTAGTAAGTGCTGAAGTAATAGGAAACATCGAGCGGTTTCTTGTCGTTTCAGTCTGGTATGATAACACGATTTTTAAATTAAAAATCAAATATGATTATTATTAAATGATTTTTTAAACAAAATAATTATAGATTTCAAACCCTGGAAGTGATGAAGCTAGAGAAATGTCTGAGAAGACATTTTCCCGATATATATTCCAATTTCTAAATAATTATTCCTTCACGACTTATCAGCGGTGAGATTTAGGTATAATGATTTTGATTATTTGAGACATTGTTTCATAAGAGAGAAAGCCGATATTATTCTTACTATCATTTATAGCCGATTCTTAAATCCGGGAAGGATTGTCCCATAACAGTAGTTTTGCAATTACGCCTACGAGGGGGGAGGGAGGAACAGTTACGAGGGGTCTGGTTTCTAGCAGGAACAGTTCTACAATGTTAAACCATGACCTCACCAACAATTGCGGGGGATTCTCTCCCATCTGTACTCCTACTGCAACCTCCTAGCGTTTAATATATATATATATATATATATATATATATATATATATATATATATATATATATATATATATATACATTTGATGATGTATAACTAATATAACTAACATTTGATGATCATTACGACTAAATAGATCTAGTGTAGTATCATCCGTAAACGCAGATTCGAGAGGATCCGAGGGGGTTATCGCACTCCTAAAAAAACTAGAGAGGGGACGATAATATCGTTTCTCTCTTCCCTCTTCCCAATATTTCTAAGAACAGAAATAAAATAAAAATCAA